TCTGAATGGACTTTGGTTTTCATTCTCATTTCTGTCCTTCCATCTTATTAAGGACTAGAGGCCCAATGCACAAAATTCGTGCAAGGGACTCGGCCCTCACAGCCCCAGCTGCCTCGCGGTCCCCCTGAGGCCCCACTTGGTTGTTCTGGAAAGTCGTTCCACCATCCAACCTAATTAGCATATTAATTCTATTATATAGGATATTTTAATGAGTAGCCATTGTAACAATGAGAGAGTTCTTTAATTTTTTTTTTTAAATTTCTTTTAAATTTAGAGCTTTTTCCAGTTGACAGGATCCATTGCCTTGAGTCAGATCTTAATAGTGACTCAAGTTAATAAGAGTGCATGAATGCAAGAAGCATCCCCAAAGGAAAGTGCAAAAATTTGCAACCCTCGAAAGATATAGTTAACTCTCAGAGTTAGAAACAACGATTCCAAAACACAAAGAATTATGTATTCCCCTGTTTCTAATGGGGTGTTTAGATTCTCTAAACTCAGATCCGCAGCCTGCTCCACTGCCTGCCAGATGTATATGCATCCTTAGAGGGAGAGAGCACAAAAATGAAGTGCCCCGTTTTTACCATCTCTGGGAGGAAATGGATAGACAAAGAAAACTCCCTTGAGAGCTTGGAGTGGCTGACCAGAAAGCAAGCTGCACCCCAGCAGGTGCACTCTGTATGGTGGAGGCCAGAGAGGAAATATTCTCACTGGTCCTAAGCTCTCAGGACATATGACAAGATGAAAGGAGAGACACCAGACACACAGAGAAAAGGAGAATTAACCAAATCCAGGAGTACTCATACCAAGTAACCAAGAGTGAATAAACCCAAGAAACGAGTTTCACAAATATATTCTTCTGTTAATCTATATTTAGTAAAAAAGGAAGAAAAAGGACTCCTACCACTGTGCTTCCTCTGAAGTCTGGAGACAGATATCTGGAAGTTTGGCTTGGCAAAAATTCTTATCGTTCTGGCTGGCTCATGCTAGTGGTTCTGGGATCTCTCTGTTGCAGCAGCTTCAGGGTTTGCAATGCCCAGTGGTGAGGTATCCTCCTCATAGTCAGTACTTTCAAATGCCTGTTGCAGAGTAGATATTCTCTTAATGTGGCTGCTATAACTTGGTATAAAGTAATATAGAAACTACATATTTTACCCAAAGGATGCATTATAAAGAATTCACTAGAGGCCCAATGCACAAAAATTTGTGCAAGAGTAGGCCTTCCTTCCCCTGTCTGCCCACACTGGCTTCCCTCAAGCACCAGTTTCCTTCTGGCATCTGGGATCAGGGCTTCCCTACTCGGGCCGGCAGTAGGCACCTGGGACCTGGCTGCTTCCCTCTGGCCCGGCTTCGTCAGAAAGGACGTTGGAATGACATTCATTCTAATTAGCATATTACCCTTTTATTATTAAAGACAAACGATCCAGAAAAAAATATTGCTTCTTATACTGTGATATACAAATGAACAGTCTGTCCCTTTTTTTTCTATACAAGTCTATCTGCTGCTATTAGTATACAGTATGTAAAATATAAGGATTCATAGTAAGTAGAGGAAAATTAGTATATTTGCTCTAAGAAAAAATAAATAAGATTCTGGCTATAAATTGTTAAGGTTTAGTTGATATGTAATAATTATATAGCAATTGGCATAATAAAGCCTTTATTTCTATGCTCTTTTTTTCCTTCAAGACTAAGAAAATGAACACTAGCTTTAACTCCCCTGTTAGATTAAAAAGGGAGGTATAAAGATCAATATTAATAGAAAAAATTGATTTGTCTTTCTGCTTCTCTAGATAGACACACTTATTCATCTGGTCAACAGATATTGAATGCATAGAAAAGCTTAACATAGGTGTGGTAGTGGAGCTACAGAATGAAGTGTATTATGATGGCTACTTATGAGTTAAGAGTCAGTGATCTAAAAATCTTCAACTAGAATGGAACTAAATGTGAATTATAATGACAGGAACACAAGTGAAACTTAGAGTGCTTGTAATAACAAGATTAAATAAAAAGAGCAGAAAATTTACATTTTAATCGTGTATGCTGTAATCTTTTTTTTTTTTTTTAAATCTTTGTTGTTGAAGGTATTACATACGTCCCCTTTTATTCCCATTGGGCTCTCCAAGCCTGCCCTTACCCCCCAACTCAGGCTCTCACCACCCTATTGTCTGTGTTCCTGGGTTATGTATATATGCATACAAGTTCATTGGTTGATCTCTTCCCAGCCCCTTCCTCTGCCTTCCCTCTGAAGTTTGAAGGTCTGTTCAGTGCTTCTATGTCTTTGGGTCTATTTTTGTTCATCAGTTTTTATTCATTAGATTCCACATGAGTGAGATCATGTGATACTTACCTGTCTCTGACTGGCTTATTTCGCTTAGCATAATGCTCTCCGGGTCCATCCATGTTGTTGCAAATGGTGAGTTTTTTTTTTTTTTTTTTACAGTTGGGTAGTAGTCTATTGTGTGGATGTACCACAGTTTTTAAATCCATTCATCTGCTGATAGGCACTTAGGCTGTTTCCAAATCTTAGCTATGGTAAATTGCCCTGCTATGAACATAGGAGTGCATATATTCTTTCTTATTGGTGTTTTTTTATTTCTTAGGGTATATTCCTAGAAGTGGGATCACTGAGTCAAATGGGACTTCTATTCTTTTTCTATTTTTTAAAGGAAATTCCATATTGTTATCTACAGAGGCTGCACCATCTACATTCCCACTAGATGTTGGCAAGGGATCCCTTTTGTCCACATCCTTGTCAACACCTGTCATTTTGTTGATGATAGCCATTCTGACAGATGTATGGTGATATCTCCTTGTCATTTTGATTTGCATCTCTCAGATGATTAGTGACTTTGAACATTTTTTCATATGCCTCTTGGCTTTCTGTATGTCCACTTTTGAGAAGTGTCCATTTAGGTCCTTTGCCCATTTTTTAATTGGGTTATCTCCCTTTTAAGTGGAATGAGTTCCCTATAAATTTTATAGATTATCAGATGTATTATTGGCAAATATGTTCTCCCATGCTGTGGGCTCTCTTGTTATTTTGTTGATGGTTTATTTGCTGTGCAGAAGTTTATTTTGATGTAGTCCCATTTGTTTATTTTATCCTTAGTTTCTGTTGTCCTAGGAAATGTATCGGTAAACATATTGCCAGGACACATGCCTGATATTTTGCTACCCATAGATTCTTCTAAGATTTTTAAGTCCATTATCCTTTTTGAGTTTATTTTTGTGAATGGTGTAAGTTGGTCTAGTTTCATTTTTTTTTTTTTTGCATTTATCTGTCATTTTAATGATGTTGATTCTACCAATCCATGAACATGGTATATTCTTCTACTTGTTTAAACCTTCCTCAATCTTTTTCAATGTCCTGTAGTTTTCAGAATACAGATCTTTTATCTGCTTGGTTAGGTTTATTCATAAGATTCTTAATTTTTTTGTTGCAATGGTAAATGGGATTTGTGTGTGTGTGTGTGTGTTTAAGTTTCTCTGAGATTTCATTATTGTTGTATAAAAAAGCCATCAATTTCTGGGTATTAATTTTGTATCTGTTACGTTGCAGTGTATGCTTTAATCTTAATTGGGAAAATAAATTGGAATATAATAACCTGATATTTTCAGTGCTTAAAAGATTCCCTTTTTTATGAACTTTATATTAACTATTGCTGGGTGAAGATGGATAAATATGAATTAGCAAATATTTAATTACATAGACTTCAATTCACAATAATTTAATTAGTAGTTCATTCAATTCATATTTATTAAGCCTTTGCTACATTGCAGGTAGTGGAAATACAAGCTGAAACAAACAAACAAACAAACAAACAAACAAACAACAAAAAGGCCAGAGACAGAGAAGCATCAATCAGACTGTCAAACCTTAGAGGGGAGGTAGGGGATGGTGGCTATAATGGGGAGAGATCAACTAAAGGACTTGCATACATGCATATAAGCATAACCAATGGACATAGACACCAGGAGGTGGGGGTGTGAGGGGGGAGGAGTGCGGGTAATGGAGGGTGGAGGTAATGGGGGCTTAAGGACACATATGTAATACCTTTCTCAACAAAAAGGAAGGGCTTTGCTTTCATGGAGTTTATATCCCAGGGAACTAATATAATATGTTCTGACACCCTACATACTTCACTCCATTTTCATGCTAATCTCAGTCAACAAGGACAGTACTAAAAAAAGAGAAGGTATGTTTCAAGCTGGATATTCTTCAACTCTGTACTTCTGTGCAACGGCCTTAAGGCAGCTTTGCCACTAGGCGTACAATCTTACACACGTTACTTCAACGTTACGCCTTGTTTCCTCCTCTGTCTGTAAAAGGGATCAGGAACAGTTGGGCTCTCCTAGAGACTAAATAAGATGATGTGCGTTGAATGTTCAGCGGTGATTCATAGTACGGCTTTTGCTCTGTGGTTCCAAAATGTACCTGCTTACTGGAACCTGGGGATCTTCAAAAACATCTCCAACCCCAGGCCACGCAACCCTGATCTCTTGAGGATGGGACGTAGGGGGGCAGCAGCTTTGGAACTCTCCAGGCGGTTTCAATTCGCAGACTGGGTTATGGATGCCTCCCGATAGCATTTTGTCCATCTACCTGTCTTTTTATCCGCAGTGTAATGAGAGTCAGATCATCGAGATGCACAGTTCTCTGTCCCACCCTGTGACTTTTGTCCACATTCTTTCACATCTTCCAGACCTCCCCATTCTCCCCACACGGTGAGGGATTTGAGGACTAACCCTTGCGCCTGAGGCTCCTGCCCTGCGGGGCCAGCTGGAGGAGAGAGGATGAGCTGGGGCGCCCAGGCCTGCCGGGGGCGCTGGGCGCAGCGCAGAGGCCTCCGACTCGCCGAGAGGGAAGGTCTGCCTCCGCCTCGCTCCCTGGGGAGCCGCGCCTGCACCCCGGTGGGCGCTGTCCCTCTGCGCGCCCTGCACCCCGCCACCCCGCCCGGAGGCCTCCGCAGCCCCGGGCGCGAGCGGGACCCGCCGCCATGGAGCCGGGGCCTGCAGGCGCCGCCGGGCCCGCGGAGCCGGGGCCTAGCGTGCGCGGCGCGGGCCGGGCGGCCGCGGCCTCCTCGCTGGCGGCGGCGGCCGTGCTGCCGGCGGGCGGGAGCGGGGAGCGCATGGGCGTCCCCACCCCGAAGCAGTTCTGCCGGGTCCTGGAGCGGCCGCTCATCAGCTACACCCTGCAGGCCCTGGAGAGGTAACCACGCCGCCGCCCTGCCCCTTCCCCCTCCTCCTCCTCCTCCGCCCAGGCCCGCCCGCCCGCCCGCGACGCTTCCCCGGCGGCTGCCCCCGCGCGGCGCCTCCTCCCGGCCGCCGAGGGCCCGCCGCGCGGCGCAGCCCCCGGAGCGCGGGCTCCATCCCTGCCTGGGCCCGCGGGCCGGGGCCCGGAGCAGGCCGGAGCGGGACATGGCGGGAAGGGCTGCTGGCAGCGGAGCTGCGGGCGGAGAGACATCAGTTCTACCTGTGGCCGCTGTGGCCCCAGGAGAAGCGGGGCCAGGACTCTCCCGGTCCCCGCCCGGCCCTCCCGGGGCCTCGCCCGTGCCCGCCTCCCGCGCTCAGGCCTTCTCCCCGCGGCGCGTGCGTGCTCTTGCCCGCCTGCCCGCATGCGCAGGGGTTCCCGGGCCTGGGCTCGTTCACTTAAAAAAACAACAACACACACTTTATTGAGTTTTTACAGAGAGGGAGAGAGGGATAGAGAGTTAGAAACATCGATGAGAGAGAAACATCGACCAGCTGCCTCCTGCACACGCCCCCCCCCCCCCCCCTGGGGATGTGCCCTCAACCAAGGTCCATGCCCTTGACCGGAGTCGAACCTGGGACTTTTCAGTCCGCAGACCGAAGCTCTATCCCCTGAGCCAAACCGGTTTTCGGCTGCTCTTTCATTTTTACCCATGCATTCACCAACACTAACTGAGCAATGCGTATAATATTTGCATATTATAATACACCATATAATGCTAATTACTAGGTGCTGATCTTGGCCTGAGGAGAATGGAATCCAAGTTGTTCTTAAGGGAGAGAGAGAGAGAGAGAGTGTGAGAAGAACATCAGTGATGAGAGAGGATCCATAAGGGGCTGCTTCCTGCATGCCCCACCCTGGGGATCAGCCTGCAACCTGGGCATGTGCCCTAACGGGGAATTGAACCGTGGTCCCCTGGTTCATAGGTCCGCGCTGAACCACACTGGTGCTAATGTGTGTCTTTTGATGGATGAAACTGATTTAAGGGTTCTTCTTTGAGGCCAGCACATGCCTTATTTTATTAGGGAAAGGGGCTGATTACCTAGTTGGGGAAATGAAGGAGAGACAGGGATGGGATGACGGAGGATTAGAAGAATTGTAGTGTGGAACTAAGGACATGAGAAGAGAGGTATGCCATTTTATTAGCCTTGTTTTTATCACCTCGTAATGAATGTGAGGGAGCATGGGATGAGGTTCAAGGAGGGGGAACTGGGGTTGCCAAGATCCACATTGGTGTCCTTGAGGTGTTGAAGCTTCTTGAAGCTAGTGGAGAGCTATGATAGTATTTTAAACCTTGGGTTGATGTGAGATGTTTGAATTGAAGTAGATGGCATCTTTTAGCATAGCCTTTGCTGGCAGCTTTAAGGAAAAGGAAGTGAGATTCTAGTCAAAGGATAGTAGCATGTTATGCCCCAAATTCCCCCTCCTCTCCCCACCCCAATGCTTTCACACACTGAAGAAGCCACAGGGCCCAAGTTGCTTTGTATATTGTTATTTTACTCTTTTTTAAATATTGTCATTTGCAAAGTGGAATTGTAAAGAGCCTTAATCACCCTTGATTCATGTAATCTGCCCTGTGGTTATATCTGAAACTCATAAAAACATTGAAACAGTTCCAAGTGCTTCCTTGCTTCCTTCTGTAGTCTACCATTTCTCTCTGTAGTTGAGGGTGGGCTCTTTGAAACCATTGTATGGATCAGGCACCTACAATATTCTAGTGTGACAGACATTGTGACTGTAGCTCATTTATGCAGATATCTTATGGAACAGAATGGATCTTGGCCAGCAGGATTTTTATCTATTTAGTAATTAGATGTAGGGGAGTGTATGTTGACATTTAACTTTTTTTTTTTTTCTATGAAAACTTACATATTGGTTTGCAGGTTTGCATCTTAACTTCTGAGGCAGCCTGAGATAGGTACTAAAAAAATACAAACAAAGTAAAACCAACTTTTAAAGTAAAATAATGTTCTTGGAAGGCCTTGTTTATGGAAAATGCAATATTTGTTTTCCATTTTTATTTAATTGATAACAACAGTCATAAATCCTAATGGTAACTAACCAAAATCTTTATTTGAAATACACCAGGGCTCATTTTTCTCACTATTACAATGCATGAAGAACTATGGAATATTATATTTGGGATATGTCTCAGGAAATCCTTGCAAACCTTGCATTTCAGGGGTATATGTATTGGTGCTTGTAAGCTATTTGCCAAATGGAAGCCATTCTCTAGGTAAAAGTTGGGATGTATACATGGCTGATAGTGGTTTTTTTTTGTTTTGTTTTGTTTTGTTTTTTTTTGTTTTTTTTTATAGCCTGGTGCTAAAAGGCCTAGGATATTTCATCCCCTGAGATAAATTATACAAGTTCTAATAAGGAAAGGACATGGAAGCATAGAGTGTCTTTTAAAACTCTTAGGAGAAATTATGCATGCTTACTACTCTGTGTTCTATATAAAAAGAGATGTAATTGGGTGTCATCACTGTCAATCATCCAGGTGCTATTAAGAAGGTGTCAGCTCTCTTTGCCCTTTAAAAGTTATGAGTATGTGATGTCCAGAGTTTGCTTTTGCCTTTCATACTGTAGTTAGGATTTTCCTTGCTCAAGATTTGCCATCTCTTTAATAGGAGGTTGAGATGTTTTTATGAGTAGTTTTTATTTCTTAGTTCTCTTTTGACTAAAAATTAAAGATACTTTTTGAAAAAGAACCCTTATGAGTTGATTTTCTTTTTTGGAATTTTGAACCAACAAATTCTTTAGGGTTTAGGATTGAGAAGGAGGGCAACCCTCAAAGTTTGGCCCCATATTTCTGAATTGGAATAGGAAAATGTGAAGAAACATCAACAGTTTTGCTTTTTAACAATGCCATTTACACTTGTTAATTTCCACTCCTTCACTTACCCACTCAAAGGGACTAAAAAGTTATAGCCATTTTTAATGAATGAAAGAGGAAGTAGAGCAGATAAAAGATAAAAGTCTAAAAGAAAGAAAGGTGATAAAGGTATGTTAACCAATCAGACTTAACAGATCCAAGAAAGTGGAAATTTAAGCCCTCAGCTAGAATATCCATGAAGAAGCAAGATGATTGGTCATAGAACCTTTAAATGGTTCAGGAATTAGAGGTACATATATTAGAGGTATATGTAATAATATCTTCTATATATATATAATAGACTAATATGTAAAGTGTCCCCTAGGGAGTTTGACCAGGAGACCAGGAGTTTGATCCCTTGCTATGACATGCACTGACCATCAGGGAGTGGTGCAGAACGAAGGAAGGCCTAAGGCAACAGCTGGAAGGCCCCAATTGGCCCTGATCACCGGCTAGGCCCAGAGACCCTACCTGTGCACTGATTTCGTTATATATAAAGAACCTGTTCATATATAATTTAGAAGTTGGAAGAAATATTGAGAGAAAAATTTACCTTTTGTATCAACTGGAACTTCATATTGTTTTTGTTTGTTCGTTTTGTGTTTTCCTGCTGGTGAATTTAGAAAAAATACACATTTTCCTAGATTAGCCAAGTTCTACTTGTGTGTAATTTCTTAGATACCAGTTTATCAGATTAAATGAGATTCAAAATAAGCTCTGATCCTTACAAATCTGATGTATTTGGCTAAAGGCTCTATCTGGACAAATGGAGACTAAAAGTATATCTAAAGCAGTTGTGTTGAGGTACATCCTCCTTCCTATATAATAAAAGGCTAATATGCAAATTGACTGAACAGTGAAACGGCTGGTCACTATGACTGATGCGCACTGACCACCAGGAGACTAACGCTCAATGCAGGAACTGGCCCCTTGTGGTCAGTGCTCCTCAGACAGGGCCTCCCCGCCTCCACAGCAGTCGGACATCCCCCAAGGTATCCCGGACTGCGAAAATGTTGCACACCAGGCCTCTAGTTTATTATAATTATTCATTATGTACATACGTATAGACATGTAGAAGCAGATGTATATGTTTATATACGTTCATATATTTTCTATATTAATCTTATGCAACTTGTTCAGATCTGTACATTATAGGTATGATTAAAAGAATCAAGAATAACAACTAATGTTTAGGTTGTATTAGAAACAAGGGCTTTTCAGAAGTTGATTAAAGTTTCTAGGAGATTGAAAATTTCATTTTGGCCTTTTAGAAGGAATTGCAATTAAATTATTGAGCCACAGATTGTATAACTTGAAGAGAACTTTGATTTTTCTCATTTTACTAACAAGGAACCGAGATCAAAGGTATTAATCTCTTACACAATTATTACTTTATGACTTGAGTTTCTAAAAGGAAATGTTGCTCTAAGAGAAGAAATCCTGGGAAAGTGGTATTATTGGCAGGGGCATAAAGCTCTGACAGTTAAATTGTAAAATTGGCTCACAGCTGAGAGACTCATACATCTAAATTTTACTTAAAAAGAAAGTATTTTGGGATCTGAAGGAGGAAGCAAAAATTTCTGCCAGTAACCTAATTTTTGGCTTTAAATATCTAAGGAAAGAAAGTATCATTAAGGAAGGTTAGACAACCTGGACTAGCTAAACAGATTATAATAAAATGGCAAGTTAAAGATGCAAGCTAAAGCAAGTTAAAGATGCAAATTTTGGCTTATTGAGATTTTTGGCAGTGGTGGTGGGCTGGGTGGGGTGATAATTCTTGACAATAGATTTGAATGATATCTGGCATAGCCTTCCCCATAGTTCCTGAACTTTCTCCAGTTCTCTTAGGTGGGGGACACTGCTTAAAATAACTTGTTCCTTGATAGGTTCCCATGCTCATCAAAACCTTATTATAAATTGGCTTCCCATACAAATCTTCTGTAGGAGGAAAATGTGCTGTCCCACTAATAAAAAGCATTCCAGATGCTGTGAAAGTAATGTATATCATTTTATATTAAAACCTTGGCATTCTAATTCATGTTTCAGTCCTTCATTAGTTTGGTTAATATGAGTTAGTTTTGAA